TTTTTTCTTTTTTGCTTATGTGGTGCTGAGGAATTGAACCCAGGGCCTCATGCATGCAAGGCAAGCGCTGTACCACTGAGCCACCTTTCCAGCCCTGGCTCACACATTTTTTTCTCTTGTCAACCTGTTATGTCTGTGTCAACACCGTTTACTGTTTGGGAGGTCTGATTTGGGTATGGATCGGGAGTAGCATGCTATATTAAACTGGTTCCTAAAATGCCTAAAACTCGTTTCATTTGAACCAGCGTCTCATTGAGCATTGGTTTATGTGCCAACCATGGCTAATTAGTCTGCTCCCTGCACTAATTGGCATACCCAGTCCACAGAATGAAGGTTCACTATCTATCTTCCTGGCATAGAAATAAACTATGCCAGCTCCAGATAACCCAACGCTTTCGCTGTAGCTGTTCTGTCTGAGCCATTGCTCTCCATCTTAATCACTGGCCACCTCCCGTTTAATGAAGCTTCTTCCTAGGAACTTTCCCAGTGTTCTTGGTGTTTACTGCCATACCTTCTCCGTTTTCCTACTGGCCCTTGTTTGTGTATCTATGTTGCTTTGATTGCCCCAAGTTATGACCCTTCCACTGCAGTGAGAGTTCTGTAAGGAAGTGCCATGTTTCACTAAAGTTTTGAAATCACTCAAAATTTAGTCGTCTTCTTTTTTTTTTTTTTTTGGTCAGTTGTGGGTCTTGAACTCAGGACATAGTTGCAGTCCAAAGCTAAGTACTCTGCGACTTGGAGTCACAGTGCCACTTCCAGTTTTCTGATGGTTAACTGGAGATAAGAGTCTCACGGATTTTCCTGATTGGGCTGGCTTCAAACTGCAATCCTCAGATCTCAGCCTTTTGAGAAGCTAGGATTACAGCTGTGAGCCACCAGAGCCCAACTCTTAGTCATCTTTTTGCATTAGTTAGGCTGGGGAAAGTAAACTGTATAAGGGATTCTTGGCTTGTCTTGATTGCGTTCTGATTTTCAGACTTGGGAGTTTTAGTGGCTTGGAGCTCTCTCCCTAATAATTAATGTGTTCACAGGCAACAGCGAGTAACGAAGTCACCAGCACCTGTGCACCGAGGGAATTCTTCATCCCCAGCCCCTGCCGCTTCAATCACAAGCATGGTCAGTGACCTATAGGGACTGTGAACCACTTGAAGACTGCTCTACTTGGTTGTGCACCCTAAGTATCCCTGAAAATCTTCCACAGGAATACTGACCTAAGTGTTTCGTACTTGCTTGTTCGGTCTTCACCTAGGGTTCTCTCCTAGTGAAGCCCCTCATGGAAAAAATGCCAGCAGACTAATATTTGCTGGCCCATGCCTGCACACATTACAGTATGTCCAAATGAAGAAGCAGCTGTGTAGGGAGGTAGGAGAAGAAGGGGAGATGGACAGGTGACAAGGCAGATAAGGCGTCCCGCAGACAAATTGGGGAGCTCACAAGTCGTTCAGATCTTAGTATTACAAAGACTGGGACAGAGGAAGGAGTTTGCCTATTTGTGGTGATAAGTCTAGTTTGACAACTGACTGGCTGATAAACAAGGGGGAGGAACAATTGCTGTGTTAAGACTCCACGTACGGCTGCATCAGACACTTTGAAAGCAAGGTTTAAGGCTTTTCTGTTCATAAATTTCGCGGATTTGGGGTTAATAAGAAAAAGGCACATGAATAGTAAAATCATCAAAGGAGCAAAGAAATGGAAACTCAGGATCCAAATCATGAATCCTAGTAGTTCAATTTACTAAGATAATTGTGATTGTGAAGGGTTAGGACCTGTGCCTCAAATGATAGGTGCTTGTGTAATAAACACAGGACCCTGAGTTCAAATTCCAGTACCTCAAAAAAAAAAGATTTTTTTTCTTTTTTTAATTTTCGGTCATGGGGCTTGAACTCTATGCCTAGGTGCTGTCCCTCAGCTCTTCAGCTCAAGGCTAGCGTTCTACCACTTGAGCCACAGCGCCACTTCTAGTTTTCTAGTGGTTAACTGGAGATAAGAGTCTCACAGACTTTTCTGCCTGGGCTGGCTTTGAACCGTGACCCTCAGATCTCAGCCTCCTGAGTAGCTGGGATTATAGGCATGAGCCACAGGAGCCTGGCAATTGTGATTGTTTTGGTAGTCATGTGAGAGAAATAGTAACAAAGAATAACTTCGTTCCTAAGTTTGTCTCTGAAATGTCCTTTTGCAGGTGGAAGGGGAGCCATTGTTGCTCCAGAGTGTATTCTGGTCATGTTCCTCCTAGTCTAATCCCGGGTCCCTAGGTGAAATGTGTGGATAGAGGCAGGCTCCCGTTATCAGAGCTTTGGACAGGGATTGCACTCATGGGACTGCCTGCCTCCTCCCTTTCCTTTCCTCTAGGAGCTGTAGACCAGAATGTTGGTATTGTCCTCTGATACTATGTAGACAATATGGAAGCTCTTAACCTTTGTTGAGCAGCTTAGTCAATGAATTCTGGCCTGATATTAGGGAAAAGTACTTAGGATGTGCTGATGTCAATTCTTTTTCTCTGCAGCTTTCTCCTTCCTTCACCCCTACCTCAGTGATCCGGAAGATGTACGAGAGCAAAGAGAAAAGCAAGGAGGAAACAGCACCTGGAAAGGTGGCTGCTGGTGACAGTAAAGAGGATATGCTGAAGGCCAGTGAAGGTACTGCAGGGTGTGCTACTAAGCAAGTATGTGTGAGAGAGAACACAGGCTGACCAACCTAACCTGATTTCTCTCCAAAGCAGTTCCCAAGCCCTGGCTGCTTGACCACAGTCGTGTGTCAAATAGAAGGGTTGGCTCTGCCGGGCGCTGGTGGCTCACGTCTGTAATCCTAGCTACTCAGGAGGCTGAGATCTGAGGATCGCAGTTCAAAGCTAGCCCGGGCAGGAGAGACCGTGAAACTCCTATCTCCAATAAACCACCAGAAAAACCAGAAGTGGCACTGTAGCCCAAGTGGTAGAGCGCTCGCCTTGAGCTGAAGAGCTGAGGGACAGCGCCCAGGCCCAGAGTTCAGGCCCCACGGCCGACCAAAAAAAAAGAAGGGTTGGCTCTATGTTGAAAATGAACGATACAACTTGTGGGCGAGTATGGGAGGGGAAAATTGGGAGAAAGTGAGGGAAGGGGTGACAATGTCCATAAAGAAATATACTTACTACCTGACTTATAGAACTGTAACCCCTCTATGTATCACCCTTTATGGTAACAGTTTTTAACATTTTTTATTAAAGGATTGGAAGCCAGTCACTGATGGCTTATGGCTGTAATCCTAGGTACTCAGGAAGCTGAGATCTGAGGATCGTGGTTCAAAGCCAGCCCAGACAGGAAAAGTCCATGAGACTCTTATCTCCAGTGAAGCACTAGAAAACTGGTGGTGCTGTGGTTCAAATTAGTAAAGTCATGCTAGCTTTGAACAAAAAAGCTCAGAGACAGTGCCCAGGCCCTGAGTTCAAGCCCCATGACCAACAAGAAAAAAGTTGGAGGGGGAACTAGCCCAGATTCTCTGGGTTGCTCAAAATTCTGACCAACCTAAGAATGTTGTGAATGCTGGTTTAAAGAATGAACTTCAGGGGGCTGGGAAGGTGGCGCAGTGGTACAGCTGAGGGACAATGCCCAGGCCAGTACAGGCCCCATGACCGGACCCAAAAATAAATAAATAAAAGAATGAACTTCAGTTTAGAATTATTTAGTTGTTACAGTTTAATAATTAGTATTTTTCATATATCCCAATATGAGCCCAATATAAATGACCTGAAACTTAAAATCCTACCTTAGCCTCAGATTACAGGTGTGTATACCACACCTAGATTTAGCCCAGCCATTTCTAAAAAGTTCTCCAACTATGGAGACTTGATATGTGCAGTGGGTGAAGCATATAGGTATAAGAGCCTTTTACAAGTATAAAAGAAAAATGTGCTGGTCTCAGAGTTGCACAGATTGTAAAGGACATGGTGGCACTAATTCTAGTAAATTAGCATTACATAGGTGCAGACTAATGGTCTGAAAACCTTTTGCCTGTGTTGCAAGAACAGTGGAGCAGATACTCTGATCAGGCTGTAATTGCTGTGTGTGCCCCAGTACCAGGGCTTGAACTCAGGGCCTGGGCACTGTCCCTGAGCAATTTTCTCAAGGCTAGCACTCTACCACATTAGCCACAATTCCACGTTAAGCTGTTTGTGATCACTGGAAATAAATCTCATGGACTGGACTTTACTCAAGATCTGAGATCTCTGCCTCCTGAGTAGTTAGGATTACAAGTACGAGCCACGGATGCCTGGCTGCTTTTTAAATTTTATCATGGATTCATATGATTTTGTACCAACTTGATTCTCTCCTTAGACTAAAAAGAATCTCAAGCAGCCAAGGACAGGACTAGTGTCCATAGCCACAGGCCACAGCCATTGGTGCAGAACAGATTGCCTAAGTTAGACCACCAACCCTGATTCTCCAGGTGTTTACCAAGAGCTATCCTTTTGTTCAGAGGAGTATTAAGAATAGAGGACGTGGGTTTTGGGGGGTTCATCTGCATCCCCTCAAGGATGTGGACTTTAAGATTATAACCTTAGGGGTTGGGAAGTGCCCTGGGTTTGATTCCTCAGCACCACATAAGCAGAAAAAGCCGGAAGTGGGGCTGTGGCTCAAGTGGTAGAGTGCTAGCTTTGAGCTGAAGAGCTGAGGGACAGTGCCCAGGCCCAGAGTTCAAGCCCCACGACCAACAAAAAAAAAAAGTATAACTTCATTAGCTTTACATTTTTTCTTTTTGTCAGTTGTGGGGCTTGAACTCAGGGCCTGGTCACTGTCTGAGCTTTTGTGCTCAGAAGGCTAGCACTCTACCACCTTGAGCCACAGCTCCACTTCCAGTTTTCTGGTGGTTAACTGGAGGGAGATAAGAGTCTTATGGGCTTTTCTGCCCAGGCTGGCCTTGAGCTGCGATCCTCAGATCTCAGCCCTCTGTGTGTGTAGCTGGATTACAGGTGTGAGCCACCAGCACCCAGCAGATTTACACTTTTGGAATGTGTCAAAAATCCCTTCTGAACTGGGAGCATAGTTTAGTAGAATACTTTCTTGGCATGTATAAGGTGCTGGATTCAATCTCCTTTTTCCCCCTGTGCCACAGACATAAATCCTTTCCCCAAAGTCCTACAAGTTTGCCAATACCAAAATACTGACTGGTTCCTTACAGACAACCTGCTGTCCAATTCCATATCCAATGTGGATCAAGAGTCTTCGCCTACAACAAATCTAAAACTGTCAACATTACAGCGGCCTTCATGTTCCACCCCACTGTCCCAGACAAACCGTTACACCAAAGAACAAGACTACCGACCTAAAACAGCTGGGAGAAAAACACCCACGTTGGCATCCCCAGTTCCAGGAACACCTTTTCTCCGCCCCACCCACCAAGTTCCCCTCGTTCCCCATGTCCCTATTGTTCGGCCTGCTCACCAGCTCCACCCAGGATTGGTCCAGAGGATGCTGGCCCAAGGAGTACATCCACAGCATCTCCCAAGTTTGCTTCAAGCTGGTGAGTGTCAGATCTGAGTTGGTCTGGGGACCTGGCATGACATATACAATGAAGAGACATCCATTCCCAGAGATGTTACTATATTCTTCCACCTAACCAATAGGCAACAGATCCAATCCAATTCGTTCTCTTAGTCCATTAAAAGACATCCTTAATGAGCTTTTAAGTCAGCAAAACATTACTACAACCCAGCCCTTCTTCCTTCTGCCCAGCAGGTGTGCTTCCTCCTGGGCTGGACCTGACACATTTACAGGGACTATCTGGCCCCATCCTGGGTCAGCCCTTTTACCCCTTACCTGCTCCTGCTAACCATCCCCTCCTAAACCCTCGTCCTGGAACACCTCTGCATCTGGCAATGATGCAGCAACAGCTCCAGCGCTCAGGTGAGTTCAGGAATGGGCTGGGTGGGAAGATAGGAAGAGGCTTAAAGCTTAGGACCAGTCTCCTGGAGATGAATTGACATCCTTAATCAGTCGACCTCTGGAATTTGGGATTGTTGTTCCTACAAAAACAGTGGGAGCGCCTGGAGTCCTTGGATATCTTCTAAAAGGTGAAGAATCTTTCCAGTAAAAGTTGAGCTAGGAGCTAGGCGTCAGTGCCTCACACCTGTAATCCTAGCTACTCAGGATACTGAGATCTGAGGGTCATGGTTCAAAGCCATCCAGACAGGAAAGTCTCTATGAGACTTTGCTTTTTATGGTCGGTCATGGAGCCTGAACTCTAGGCCTGGACACTATCTCCTCAGCTCTTCAGCTCAAGGCTAGCGCTCTACCACTTGAGCAACAGCACCACTTCCGACTTTTTCTGCTTATGTGGTGCTGAGGAATTGAACCTAGGGTCTCATGCATGCAAGGCAAGCACTCTACTACTGAGCCACATTCCCAACCCCTCCGTAACTTTTATCTCTAATCAGTAATAGGAAAAGTGAGCTAGGGCCCACCCAGAACAGATGCCCTCTCAGCAGAGAAGGTCGGTGCTATGTGATGAGAAGTGGTCCTGTCATGCAGGGTGGGTTTTCAATATTAATGGCTTCTTAACAGCTTAACCTTCTAAGGTACTGACTTCCAGTTCTCTAAAGAAGCCCTAGAGTAAGTCGTCTCAGAAAGACTTTGGGTCTGTTTATGGTAGGGTTTGAGTGAAGGGAGGACCTGGTAATAGTAAGGAACCATTGTTCCGTCATACTCTGAATGTTTATAACCCTTCTTATCTCCATAGTTCTGCATCCTCCAGGCTCTGGATCCCAGGCAGCAGCTGTCAGCGTACAAACAACTCCTCAGAATGTGCCCAGTCGGTCAGGCCTGCCGCACATGCACTCCCAGTTAGAGCATCGCCCCAGTCAAAGGAGCAGCTCCCCTGTGGGCCTTGCCAAATGGTTTGGCTCAGATGTGCTGCAGCAGCCCCTACCCTCCATGCCTGCCAAAGTCATCAGTGTAGATGAGTTGGAGTACCGACAGTGAGGGCACGGCAGGCAGGCAGGCTCACACACATCTGGACCTATGGTGGCAACCTGGACAGGACAATGCTGCTTCATCCTGGGTTGGTTTATAGGCTTTTACTTTGGAACACTCCAGGTGAAGCGCTTTAGGGAACCCACACACATGGCGTGGTCTCACATGATAGAACGATCTTAGCCAATGTAGGAGCAGAACCTACATGGTCTAAATACAGGATGCACAGTGCTGTCAATCCTGAAAATTCTTTCTTTTTGTAAGGTATGTGAATGATGTGCTGGTGTCTTCATTAAGAGGTGGCACCTAAGGGTTCTGAGGAAATAAAATGTATAGACCCTTATGTACAGATCTGTGTATAAACTTTTGTACATACGTATAGGATAGCTTTTTTGAACTTATACAGCTGTACATAAAAGTAGCTGATATTAGTTAAGCCTGTGTCAACTGTTTTTTTCTTTTTTTCACTTGTACATTTGGGACTTTTGTTTGATTAAAGTTGCATATGCTAAGTGTGTGAATGAAGTGAGTGGCATTGCTGTGTTTCTTTCCTCACTGAATCGCTTCAAACAGCCAAGCCAAGAAATTTAGGACTCCTTGATGGAAATGGCCTGAAATACCAATTATTGTGGAACTGGATCTATTTTGATTTAGGAGGGAGAGGCAGCTTTTTCATTTAAGACTCCAGAGATGGTTAGGCCAGGCTGACCACCCTTTTAATAGCCTTGTAACTAATATGTACGCTTTTCAAAATTCCCATAAAAAAGAGATTTTGGCTCTCCTTTCTGGCTGAAGATTTTTCAGTCCTACTAGTTTGAAAGTTTTCAAGCTGAAGCCCTAGCTCTGGATACCTATTCAGTTAGGACCATAAAAGCTACTTTGAGGCTAGGCACTGTAACCCTAGCTATTCAAGAGGCTGAGCTCAGAGCCAGACCAGGAAGTAAAGTCCATGAGACCCTTATTTCCAATAAACTACCAAAAAAAAGCCAGAAGTGGAGCTAGAGCACTAACCTTGAGTAATAGAAGCCAGGGTCAGTGCCAAGGACTTCTGTTCAAGGAGAAGAAAGAAAAAAAAAACAACTCCATACTCCAGGATAAAATGACAGTTGGACAAGCTGCTGCCTTTTAATTCCAAGGGTGACATAGAGCCTGATTTCTGAATGTTAAGACTCTGCCCTATACTTCAAAGGGCACAAAAAAAGTCACATTTCAACAGAAACTGTCAGAGAGAGGAGAGATCTCACTGGCACTCATTTTCTCTTCTTCCCCCCAAAGTATCATTTGATTTTTTTTTTTTTTGCTAGTCGTGGGACTTGAACTCAGGGCCTGAGCACTATTCATGAGCTTCTTTTGCTCAAGGTTAGCACTCTACCATTTGAGCCACAGTGCCACTTCCGGCTTTTTCTGTGTACGTGGTTCTGAGGAATTGAGCCCAGGGCTTCATGCTTGCTAGACAAGCACTCTACCACTAAGCCACGTTCACTTTCCGTGTGATTCTTCAGCCTTAGAATTCTTAGAAAATGTTTTGTTTCCACAAATGGAAGTCAGAAAGCGGTCCCAGGTATTCACAGAATACTGATATCTGGGCTCTGGTTTGACCATTTCTGTGTCCCTTATCCCATGTATTTCCCCTTTGTGTTTAGCCAACAGTAGGAGGTATACAGTGAGGAGGAAGAGGTTGAAGCTGCCTATAAGGGATTCCTTTTCAGACTCAAAGCTGGTGAGACAGGTCAGAGCAAAGAGCAAAGCCATTAGCTAGTGACTGGCAAAATGGAGCCAGATATCAGACCTGTAACCTTGAAACTACTACAGGAAGGAGAAACAATTTATTGGCATAGACAGGAACTTCCTGAGCAGAGTTCCAGGGGTATAGCAAATTGGAGACTCACTGGGATTGCACCAAATTTTCTGCACAACAAAGAACAACGTACCTTGGGTCTGGGAAGGTGGCTGAGTGGTAGAGTGCTTGCCTTGCATGCATGAGGGTTCAATTCCTCAGCACCACATAAGCAAAAAGAAAAAAGCTGGAAGTGGTGCTGTGACAAGTGGTAGAGTGCTAGCCTTGAGCTGAAGAGCTAAGGGACAGTGCCCAGGCCCAGAGTTCAGGCCCCACTAATGGATCCCCCCCCCCAAAAAAAATCCAAAGAACAGCGTACTTTTACCAGTTATACATATGAGGAACTGATTTCCAGAATATACAAGTTCAAGAGACTATAAACATCCCCAAAATCAACCTAGTTAATACATGTGCAAAAGAACTAGAAACTTCTCAGAAGAATGACCAATAAATGCATGAGGAAATGTTCAAAATCCCTGGCCATAAAGGGAATGCAAATCAAAAGAACATAAAAGATAATTAAGCCAAGAGCTGATGGCTCACACCTCTAATCCTACTACTCAAGAGGCTGAGATCTGAGGATTAAGGCTCAAAAGCAGCCCAGGCAGGAAAGTCCAAGAGACTCATCTCCAAATGCTAGCACTCTACCCAGGCTCTGAGTTCAAGCCCCATGATGACTGCTGTTAGAGATGTAGGGAAAAAAGAAACACTGTTGGTGGGAATATAAACTAGTGCAACCATTCTAAGAAGGTGATTTGGAGAGTCTTCAAAAAGAGTAAACAAGCAGGGCACCCGTGGCTCACACCTGTAATCCTAGCTACTCAGGAGGCTGAGATCTGAGGATCACGGTTCAGAAGTCCGTGAGACACATCTCTGATAAACCAATAGAAAACTTGAAGTAGCACTGTGGCTCAAGTGATAAAGTGCTTGCCTTGAGCTGAAGAGCGCAGGGACAGAGCCAAAACCCAGAGTTCAAGCACCCAGACTGACAAAAAAAAAAGAGTAAATGGGTGGGGAATGTGGCCTAGTGGTAGAGTGCTTGCCTAGCATGCATGAAGTCCTGGGTTTGATTCCTCAGTACCACATAAACAGAAAAAGCTGGCTCAAGTGGTAGAGTGCTAGCTTTGAGGAAATGAAAATCAGAGACAGTGCCCAGACCCTAAGTTCTAGCCCAAAGACTGACTGGCAAAAAAAACCCAGAGTAAAAAGAACCACCGTATGATCCAGCAATACCACTCTTAGGAATCTATCCAGAATATTATTACAACTCAAGACATGGTAGAGATACACATCTTTGTTCAGTAGTGTGCTATTCACAATAGCCAAGTTATGGAAACAGATGAGTAGATTAAGAAAATGTGGTGTGGGGCTGGGAAGGTGGCTCAGTAGTAGAGCGCTTGCCTTGCATGCATGAGGCCCTGGGTTCAATTCCTCAGCACCACATAAGCAAAAAGAAAAAAGCTGGAAGTGGCACTGTGGCTCAAGAAATGAAAATCAGAGACAGTGCCCAGACCCTAAGTTCTAGCCCAAAGACTGACTGGCAAAAAAAACCCAGAGTAAAAAGAACCACCGTATGATCCAGCAATACCACTCTTAGGAATCTATCCAGAATATTATTACAACTCAAGACATGGTAGAGATACACATCTTTGTTCAGTAGTGTGCTATTCACAATAGCCAAGTTATGGAAACAGATGAGTAGATTAAGAAAATGTGGTGTGGGGCTGGGAAGGTGGCTCAGTAGTAGAGCGCTTGCCTTGCATGCATGAGGCCCTGGGTTCAATTCCTCAGCACCACATAAGCAAAAAGAAAAAAGCTGGAAGTGGCACTGTGGCTCAAGTGGTAGAGCACTAACCTTGAGCTGAAGAGCTGAGGGACAGTGCCCAGGCCCAGAGTTCAGGCCCCATGACTGGACCCCCCAAAAAAAAGTGTGTGTGTGTATATATGTATATATATATATAAATACATACATGCACACACATATATACATATATATATATAATGGAGTTTTACTCATCTATTAGAATGTCATTTTCAAGGAAATAGAAAAAAACTAAGTGAAGTCAGGCTCAGAGAGACAAATGACATATATTTTCTCTCATGTGGAAATTAGATCTAAAATACATACATGATAACATATATAGGGTTTTATGCATATATACACATAAACTGATTAAAGGATGGTATACTTAGGGGAAAAGTTTAATGGTATAACTCCTCAAATAATAGTTTAACAAAACGGGGCTGAGAAGGGGGCTCAGTGGTACAGCGCTTGCCTTGTATGCATGCGGCCCTGGGTTCCATTCCTCAGCACCACATAAGCAAAAAGAAAAAAGCTGGAAGTGGCACTGTGGCTCAAGTGGTAGAGTGCTAGCCTTGAGCTGAAGAGCTGAGGGATAGCGCCCAGGCCCAGAGTTCAAGCCCCACGACTGGACCCAAAAAAAAAAAAAATAGTTTAACAAAATGAATACCACAAAGTGGAAAAGTTGGCAAGGGAAGGGCAATAGGGTTGGGAACACATGAATGGAGAAAGGGTGAGCAGTTACACTTTTTGGGGGGTCCCCGTGGGGTTTGAACTCTGGCCTGGGCACTGTCCCTCAGCTCTTAAGCTCAAGGCTAGCCATAGTGCCACTTCTGGTTTTCTAGTGGTTTATTGGAGATCAGCTCATGGATTTTCCTGCCTGGACTGGCTTTGAACTGCAGTCCTCAGATCTCAGCCTCCTGAGTAGCTAGGATTACAGGCGTGAGCCAGCAGTGCCCGCGGAGGAAAGGGATATGTGGGAAAACAACAGAAAGGGTAGCGTTGGTCACGGCATTGCATTTATAATCTGACTTATAGAATTGAAACCTCTTACAACAAGAAAACAAGAGCATTATTAAGAGTATCATAGTAGTAGGGTACTAGTGGCTTATGTCTATAATCCTACCTATTCAGGTGGCTGAGATATGAGGATCCCAGTTCCAAGTCAGATGGGACAGGACAGTCTGTAAGACTCCTATCTCCAATTAACCACCAACATGCCAGAAATGGAGCTGTAGTTCTAGCTTTGAGGGGGAAAAAAAGCCCAGGCACAGTCTGTGCCTAGGCCCTGAGTTCAATTGTGTGTGTGTGTGTATGTGTGTGTGTGTGTGAGTAGTAGTAGTGGTCTAGAAAGCCGGGTGCTGGTGGCTCACACCTGTAATCCTAACTACTCAGGAGGCTGAGATCTGAGGATCATGGTTCAAAGCCAGCCCAGGCAGGAAAGTCTGTGACACTCATCTCCAATAAACCACCAGAAAACCTGAAGTGGCGCTGTGGCTCAAGTGGCAGAGTGCTAGCCTTGAGTTGAAGAGCTGAGGGAACAGTGCCCAGAGTTCAAGCCCAACGGCAAAAAAAAAAAAAAAAAACACCCTGACTGGAGAAGGGTGAAAACAAAAGAAGTTAATGTAGTTTCTAGGACTTAGATTGATATAGGGGGGAAGGCAGGAAGGAAAAAGTGTCTCAGCTAACTTTTGGGTATCTTTGGTATGTGGAGCAGACACGAATTTAGGAACAATCAGGGTTGGAGGGTGTGTACAATAAGATTAAGAGAAGCTAAGGACACCTGTGACACCTTCAAAGTAGAAAAGCTAAAGGGTGCATGACCTCATGGAAAAACTACCATGATGGAGGGGAAGCCGGGTAGGAAAGAATAGTCCTTGTATCACCAAAATCAAGCAGGAGGAAGACCATGAATGGAGACGGAGAACACAGGCCAACTTTTTAGAACAGCTAAAAAGCTTCTAAGAAGCTACATTATTAAAACTGGCTCTTTGTGATAGTACAAGCTTAATCAGGAATGAAAACTTAGAGGAGCAAACTCTCGTTTGTTAATTCTATTCCCTTGGGCTAGAAGTGTGGCTCATATACACAAAGCCTTAAGTTCAAACCCCAATACTGACAAAAGAAAAAAAATTACAGGGGCTGGGAACGTGGTTTAGTGGTAGAGTGCTTAAGCCTTGGGTTTGATTCCTCAGTAGCACTAAACAGAAAAAGCTGGAAGTGGTAGAGTGCTAGCCTTGAACAAAAGAAGCTCAAGGACAGTACCCAAGCCCTGAGTTCAAGCTCCAGAATTGGCACACAGAAAGAGAAAGAAAAAAAGAAATTATAGTTCTAGTCGGGCACTGGTGTCTCACACCTGTAATACTAGCTACTCAGGAGGCTGAGATCTGAGGATCACGGTTCAAAGTCAGCCTGGGCAGGAAAGTCTATGAGACTCATCTCCAATTAACCACTAGAAAACCCAGAAGTGGCGCTGTGGCTCAAGTGGTAGAGCACTGGCCTTGAGCTGAAGAGCGAAGGATAGCAACCAGGCCCAAAGTTCAAGCCCCACAACCAACCAAAAAAAGAAAGGAAAAAAAAAGAAAAGAAAAAAATTATAGTTCAATTCCCATTACCAATAATTGTGCCATGAAACAAAAAGCAAACTGGCTGGGCAGTTTCTAGGAAATAATTTTCCAAAACAGTAATGTTTTAGGCCCTTTTATTAACTTCTGGATACTGATGTTCAGCCTAGTACTGTGGAGACATCTTATGATTTATAGGGAGGAACCAGCAAGATACAATAGATGGCAGAATCTGAACCTTAATAATCTCACTAGCTGCCAGGAACCCATTAATTTCTGTAAAAGTCCATCTTTCCTTCCATTTTAGCTGGTTAACTTTACAGCCGTTAGATGGAGCTGAATTAAGTAATGGCACAAAACAGTGGGTCAAGAACATGAGAATATATGATAGAACAGGAAGTTCGCACCATGCCATAAAAACAGTTTCAGAGCTCATCAGAAAGCCTGATGCCTGCCAGAATTCTTGATACAAATCACTTCTTCCAGGACTGCTCAGGGTGAACCCAAAAGAGACAGAAGGGAAAGACAGGATACTCTCTCGGCGACTATGGGGCCACGGAGCAGAATAGGGTAACGTTCTGCATGAGGGACACAAGGCCTATGTAAAGAACATTCTGAAGCCTTGGATCAACTGGATTTCATCAATCTTCTGTCCTCAAAACCCTGGAAAGACTAAACATTTTAACACATTTTTGGCCTGATGCTCAGAAGGACGGAAAAAGGGTGAAAAAATACAGCAGTGACAACTACTAGAAACTATACAACTTGTGGGTAGAGATGGAAGGGAAAAACTGGGAGTGAAGGAAAGGGTAACATGTTCCAAAA